TCTGTGTGTGTGTGTGTGTGTGTGTGTGTGTGTGGCTGCCTGTGAATGTGTTTTTGGTTCACGTTTATGCTCCTGGCATCCAAGATCCCCAACCTTCCGTGCTGCGCTTGGGCAGATGAAGACTGGTGATTGTGAGCTGGTGACAGCTTCAACCGAGGGGAGGATCGTCACATGGGATTATCGGGATCCGAAGCCTACACGAATATGGTGGGTAGATGATTAATTTATTACTGACTTTCTTCAGCCCCTTTGGTGATCGCCAACCACCTGGAGCTGTTAGTCCTGGCAAGTATACAGATTGTCGCTGCTCAGCATCATATATTTCACATCAAAACAAAACCTGACTACCTAGCTCAAGGCCATGAACACTGCGTGCCCTTCCTCAATCGTGTGTGGGACAATAAACCCTAAACCCTAAACCTTAAGGCTTAAATCCTAAACCCTAAACCTTAAGGCTTAAATCCTAAACCCTAAACCTTAAGGCTTAAATCCTAAACCCTANCCTAAACCCTAAACCTTAAGGCTTAAATCCTAAACCCTAAACCATACCTCCTAGATGCTACACCCCAAACCGTTAACCCCATGCCCTAAGCCATAAACCCTCAATCCTAAACCCTAAACGCTAAACCCAGTCTGATTTGGGGCAGTTGCACTCCAAATTGGATGATCATAGTGGTGTCCAGTAACAATCAGTGCACATTCACACTAGTGACTTTCCCAAATGTATATTGACCGCAATAACATCCATATCCAGTTGAAAAGTCTAGTATGCTCTCAGTGATAATGCCCTAGCCAACATGCCTTGATACAGAAGGAGTCTGAATGACCCATGCGCCGCATGCGGTAATTTCGCAACAAATGTTTACTGCAAGGAATTTGCAGTTCAAGGTGGTGTAACTCTCTGGAATGCTTCAGTGTGTGTTGAATACTGTCATTGGTTTGACTGGTTAATGTTCAAACTTTGACATCCTTTCTTTTTTTCTTTTTTTTTTCTTCTTCTTTTTTCCCTCCCTTTCTTCTTTTTTTAAAGGGCGACAGCCGTGGGGTATCTTCAGCGATCGGATAGGCCCTCGGCAATTCAGAATGTGTTTTTTCTTCAGTTCATCAAAGGTCTAGCAGTATTTGAATGCGGGTTCGGATTTCAACAGTTCATGGGTGTACCAATTGAACAAGGCTCGTTGGTTTGATAAATTGATATGCTTTCTGGTATTTTCCCCTTTTTAAATTTCCACTGCGATGTCCTTCGAAACATACATTGAAAGGATTGGAATTTGGAACGATACCGAGAAAGAAGAAGAATAGCATGGCCCATGCGCAAGGATGACACGCATAAATCGTGAAATGGTCAGAAATTTATTTTTAAAAAAGAAAGAAAAAGACATTGCGAAATTTGCGATTTCGATTTAAAAAAAAGACTTCCGCCTAGTCCAGGGATACACAGGAGACCTGCAACGGCAGGGACTTCCCTATAGACATTACAAACTCAAAGAATTTCTTCGAGTTTCTAGATCCTAGAGTCGTACACAGAAGTATCGCATACCGGGTCTATAGGCCTCAAGCCTTAGCAGAGCATTATACAGCTGGCAGTATGGGCTCAATATCAGGGAACTAGACAATAGCCCTACTATGGGTGCCCTGCATAGGTCCCAAGTCTTAGCAAAGCACTATACACTATCCAAATTTGTGTGTGTGTGTGTGTGTGTGTGTGTGTGTGTGTGTGTGTGTGTGTGTGTGTGCGTGTACGAAGACACTTGTATACAATATCCCCAACATGACGTAATCAGGAACACCATCAGTGAAACCACTTCAAAGGTAAAACTGAAATAGTCTTGAACTTGGACGTGAAAGGTCATCACACATAGCGCCAGACATTGCAAAGCACCCACGGCAGGAAGAAAACAAACAGCACAGACCAAAGAAGGAAAAGACACCGGGGCAAACAGTAACCAGCCAAACCACAACCAACAAGAATGGAAAAACGTACACAAGAAATAGCAGAAACTGAAAAAATAAAAATTGATGATGAAAGATTGTTTCGTCGGAGTTGCACCGACTCATCAGGAGGCTGAACCCTCGACAATCTGCGGGAATATTTGATGGTTTGGGTCATGAACCCTTTGACCCTTGTTGAAGGCAATCCCCAAGCGGAACATAGCAGCAGGCAGCAACCCTGTGGAGCACCAGGCAACACAGTAGAGGCAACACAGCTGCACAACGCCAGAAACGACTGCAAGGAACGACAAGGCACGCAGGACATGCAGCGCGGCAACCATGTAGTGAAGCACAAGACAACACAAGCAAGGCAACCACACTGCAAGGGACGACAAGGCGAGTGGACCAGCAGCTCGGCAACAATGAAGCAGAGCACAAAGCACCAGCAACAAGGCAACCAACCTACAAGGCGCACAAGCAGGAAACACAGAAGGCACGGGCAGCGGATCGGCAGCAAGGCAGCAGAGCAGTGAAGCGCAAGGCAACACCGACAGCATGGCCACACCACACAGCTAAAGCAGCAACTTGCAGAGAACCACATGCAAAGCAAGCAGGACAGGCAGCAAGGCGGCGGTGAAGCGCAGACGAGGCAGTCCACACATCCGACATGCAGCAAAACGCGCATGACCTACTCACATCACAATTGAACCCCGCAGATTGTTGGTCCCCACCACCCACTGAGCCAGGGAGACACTCCGATGCGCATCCGTCATCACCCACAGACAACACAGACATCCCGAACCGAGTGGCCCCCCTAAGAGTGCAGTTGGCACTCCAAACAAGGAACCACCGACTGTTTGGCACTAGTTAAGGGTGCTCAGTTGGGCACAAAAAAAAAAACTTAGAAAAAATCAGAGGGAGGACAGACAGCAGAAGAAAGACTGACAAACATAAAACAGATTACGTGTGTGCGTGTGTGTGTGTGTGTGTGTGTGTGTGTGTGTGTGTGTGTGTGTGTGTGTGTGTCTGTTTAATTTTCACGACAACAGCCCCTATTCCACCCAGACGAGAAGATCCAAAATCAAAGCATATTGAATCATATTACACACAACGAAAGCCCTTGAGTTGAGGCAATCCAACAATGAAACAGTTTCACCTCTATAACAAAGCAACATGAAGTACAAAGGGGAGGGAGGAAGGGAAAGTGGTAGGAGCTGGAGTCCTATAGGGAGTGAGGGGGAGGGGAGGGAGAAGGGGTAGGGGAGAAAGTGGAGTGGCAAAGGACAGACCAGAGATATGGGCGGATATGTACATACTGTTCTCTGAACTGTATGGGGAAGAGCGAATGACTCGAAACAGGTCAGGCTACTCAGCTGGAAAAGACGACAAGATGGCACGCAGCAGGATGGACCGGACGCGGTACTAGAGGGTACTCGAAGTGAAGGGATGATACACTAGATATTCCAGAAGATGCTTAAGGCATGTGCTTGCAGCAGAATCCAGTTTCGTAACGACAGCTTAAAAAATATATGGCCTCGTGCAACAGGATCCGGGACCACCACACAGAAAAAGTCAGGATTGCTACCTGGCGCTGACAGTCACCGCACGATAAGTACGATTACCGTGTGTGAACTCTGGAAAACGTGCTGGACTAGAGCTGAAATGTAGGAATGGTACCATGGGACTATGAACTCCAAAGGAATTCTAAGTACCGAGGAAGGACTTTTTGCTTCGGGGAGTAGGTATAAATGGATGAATAGAGCGACGCTCGATAACAGTCTGAGCGGAATAGGAGTTGAAGGACTTTGTGGCGATTCACTGCTACCGTAATGATGTGATCAGTTTCGTGAAATGTAATACTCTTGGTTACATTATTTATTGTGTTGATTCTCTCTCTCCCCCCCCCCACTTTGTCTGCTTGATGAGGCATCAACCCAATGAATCCGTGAAAATCTCTCTCCACCCCCCCCCTCCCTCTTATCTGCTTGATGTGTCTGCTCCTCTCATTCAGATTTGTTGGAAATTAACAAATTAGTATCTTCTATGATGCTTGCAGGATTGACGACCAAGAAGTTCGTGTCCGCACAATGGCATTGTCCCCGTCAGGGAAGTTTGCCGCTTATGGGACAGATGATGGTGTCCTGAAGGTAAGAGGTTTGTGCAAAGGTGTGGGAAAGGATTTAAAAGAGGCCAAAGCCACCGAACTGACCAGTGGTCATTACCTTTAAAATTGCTTCATGGCCTGGTATCGACGTGTCTGTCGTTTCGCCCACATGTCTGGCGCTGGTTACAGACATGTCCTTTCTGAGAGGGTTCCCAGGACATTCTATAATCTATACCTGTCCGTTTGATCTCCTCCACACATCCTCCCCTTCTCTGCTGCTCCAATGGCATACGGTTGTGTACCAGACAATGAATTTGCTTCTTGTCTTGGTTGGAGTCTTGGGGACTCTCTCTCTCTCTCTCTCTCTCTCTCTCTCTCTCTCTCTCTCTCTCTCTCTCTCTCTCTCTCTCTCCTGTCTCTTACCCTC